GTTTTTATGCGTCAAATAGTATACTTATTTCTTTAAAATTTGCTAAAAAAGTTCTAAAATTCAGTATATCGATCAATCGATGAATAAAAGTATACTTAGTTATTTTTCAATATTTTGTTGTATTCAAACGTCGAAATAATTTATTTTTGACCTTTTGCCTTTGACTTTGCCCATGAACACTCGCAACACCAGAGCAGTTGCCAATAAGTTGCCGACCTTTGGGATTAAAGATATTTAAATGCATTACAGCATTTTTAAGACTACTTTTTTCAATTTGGTTTTTAATCTTTTGTGTGGAAAGATATTTTTTTTTAATAACGTTTACACACTAAACTAATATTTTCTCCTGTGTCGTAGGTGCGTTAACAAACATACAAATCACACCTATTGTATATATAATTACACACATACACTTTTGTGGTTCACTCAAAGAAATGCCCGTGCGGGAATCGAACCCGCGACACGTAGCACGGCAGCCGGTTGCCAAGCCACTACAGCAATGCACAGTGCAGTCAATTGTCATATTATTAATGATGTACAAGTAGATACATAACATATTTTACGTGTTTACAAGTTTTCAATGAATATGGTAAAGAATGAGTATCAAGCAGGAGTAGACTAGCGAAAAACAGCCAATAACATATAAAAGAGCAAAAAAAATATTGCACATTGGGATTTACCCATATTTCCCAATCACACTAATACTCATCAACTAAATCACGGGCATGGATAGTCCACATAAATAATACATCGTCAGCAATGATTGTAGCAAAGCCCGGTTAATCCGTCAAACGATAGCAATTAATCCATAGCGGAATCGATGACTAATGACAGCACATAACACAAATACAGGAACAGGAACACACTATATGAACACTACCGTACGTAATTACACAAAATCAATCCTGGCGATTGTCAATTTACCCACTAAACCTCTGGGAGGAAACACAATATCTTTGCAGGAGTAATAAACTATGGGAAGGTCTCATATTAATCATCCTAGGGTTACGAATCACTGAAGGTTTTATAAGACAACGAGGGGATAAATTTCTTTATATTTATGATAGGACGCGGTCAGGGTTAACTTTGAAGGTCATAATATTCTTAATGTTTGATAAATTTTCTAAAATAATAAGTTGACGTTAGTTTTCTAAGATTAATATATTTTATTTGTCTTGGCAATGGTATAATATTGATCTTTCATGACTTCACTAATTAAAAGATGATATTTATACTAATATTATAACGAGGTAAAATTTGTAAGTTTGTATGTCGGAATTCCAAAATTATTTCACTGATAGATAGCTATAATGTTCCTGAGTGCTATAGGCTATAAAACATCACGCTACGACGACGACGACAAATGCAGCCGAGAAGCGAGTGAAACCGCGCGACAGTATCTAGTTATACATATAAATCTTCCTTAATCCTCTTACATCTCTTTATCTATGAAAAAATCGCATCAAAATGCGTCACGTAGTTTTAAAGACCTAAGCGTACATAAAGATACAGGGACAGACAAAGCAACTTTGCTTATACTCTGTAGTGATTAAATATAGAATTTAAAACAAAAATAAAAAGATAGAGGCATAGATTTAGAATAATACAAAATAGAATTCTACGACTACTTTCATTGATTTATTCGTTGGTCAGAACACCCCCTACTAATTAACTAAAAAGCTTTCATTATTCTCAAAACAAGGAGATTTACGACGACAATCTACTCAGCCCAATATCGCACTTAAATTCGTTAACAAACATGAAAATTAATAAAAGGTGTTTCTAATATTCGTAGTTTTAAATTAGAATGTATTTAGTGTGTGTGTGACTTACGTTGATTAATTCCATAATGTTACATAGGCCATACTTGTTATTGAATATTTTATTATTGTTTATATATAATTACCTAGTTATAACAACAATAGGTACTATGGTTACAAAATTGTTGCTAGAAATTGCCAAATATTATGTTATTAGATTCCGTTAAAAAGCAAGGTTCATGAAACATTTGCTTTTTCAGTAAATAGGTACTTAAAATTTTATTTTGTGACATGTTTGTTTTTTTTTCATATTGTTAAAAAGTTGAAAATTCTCTATATGACTGGATAGATATGAAAGCATAATCTTTTAAAAAAGTACGATCGATAAGTTCTGTCGATTTTTCATTAATGTTTAAGAAGTGTCATTACTTTATTTCAAAATCAACTTGGAGACTACAACGGAATTAAAGCAGTCGCCTTCTAGACTAAAAATAAACAAACAAAATAAAAGAGTACGACATTTTATTGTTGGAACGCGCTTTAGTATTCAGGGCCGCCTCCCAACTGTCGGCTCCATTTAAAAATGCCGACTTGTAACAAATTAGTTTGCCTTTCGTTTTTAAGGACTTTCACACACTCTCTGTTTTGTCACATTTCTATTTATATTCTTTTAGATTTAACATTATAAAACGGAGAATGGAGACCCGGAGGTTAAGGCGTTCGCTTCTCATACACAAGAGTAAGGCGTTCGAAACCTGGCAAGTATGTACATATGTGATTTTTTCCGAGTTATACTTATGTACTTTCTATGATTATTTAGACAAACATTTAAGGTTAAGAAAAACACCGTGAAGAAATCGTTAAGTGTGGAAGAGCCATGCTTCGGCACGAATGGGTCGGCTCGACCGGAGTGATACCACGGTCTCGCAGAACACCGGCGTGAAACAACCATAGCGTTGTGTTTCGCCGTGTGAGTGAGGTTACCGGAGAGCCAATCCTTACCCTCCCCCAATCCCTAAATCTCCAAATCACAAATCCCCAAAACGGCAACGTACTCGTAACTCATCTGTTGCGGGTTGGGCGGCGCTTACCATCAGGTAATACGTCTGCTCGTTGGTCGACCTACTACATAAAAAAAACGTGCTCATCATGTTATAACTTTACTAATACCCATTTTAAATGTAATGCGGACTGATATATTCCAACACAAATTCAATTTCAAACTTTAAAATTATCAGACACATAACATTATTTCGCGTGTGAGAGCCCTAACGGGGGAAGTGGAGCGTGGCTTCTTACAGCCATTTGAGGCAGGCAAATGTGATCGCGTACGAGCTGAGGTGAGTTATAAAATGGATACCAGATCATTAGTGTGTCGAGGTTAGTGTGGCGTGCCGCTAACAAAACCTGCACAATTTAATGCAATTTACATGAAATTTTGTTGACATTTTCTGTGACTATCTAGTGTAGTTTTAGTTGGGCTTTTCTTAGATTTTTACTACTATACTTCTTATATGAAGGTTGTAACTTACATTTTTCTTTCTGGAAACTAATAAACAGTTTTTTTTAAGATTCAACTACTTTTTCTAAAAGCTTATGAATCATCGAACATCTGCAAATATATAAAAAAAATCTCACTGGATCGTCGTTAACGAGACTAAGCTTTGAAATTTCTTTCAACTCTACAAAATCTAATAGACCACTACAGATGGGACCCAACAGGGCCGATATTCAGTCAAGGCTACCCTGTAAGCACTATAAAGTACCGTGGCTTCGCAGAAAACCGGCGTGACAAAACCACAGCGCTGTGTTTCGCCGTGTGAGTGAGGGTACCGGAGGCCCAATCCTTCCTCTCCCCAAATCCCTCCTTAATCCCTAAATCTCCAAATCCTTAGTCCTTAAAAGGTCGGCAACGCACTCGTAACCCCTCCGTTGCGGGTGTTAATGGGCGGCGCTGATTGCTTACCATCAGGTAATCCATCGGCTCGTTTACCGACCTAATACATAAAAAAATTTAGGAAAATTATAGTTTAAAGGAAACATGTAGTATGTCACAATGGGCCTTTGCTAATCTACAATCAAACAAAACATAAAACCTAAAATATATTCGGAAATATAAATAATATGTAATGTATGTACAAAGTTCCTCATTAAGTCATACATATTACGTAGTTTATACGCATTCTCCACTTCACAAAAGGACGAGTTTGTCCCTCGTCGTATTCGCATTCCGCCATTATGATAATTCGCGTCACAGTGATGATTCCCGGAAAAATCTGAAAATCCCATTATTTCACTACGTTTGACTTGCATTTGTTATACAAATACCTTTTTGTTGAACACTGTTCGCTGTTTAACCAAAATACATGTACTTTGGAAAACAATAGGATAGTAGCTAAGTCACATTTTATTTACAAATTTTGTTACTATGCGTCTATAGTATTATGTTTTAGTAGAGGTACATACATTTCAATAATATTAACATTATAATTATAATGTATGCAATAAATAATAACGGTTTCAGTTGTCAGAATATAAATGTACCTATACAAAAATATAGGAAGACAAGTTTACTATAAAACATTAAAAATAATTATTTCCGCAATTTGTTAAGTAGCGTTTCACATAATTTTTGTAAGAATATTCCTCCAATATAACACGTACTCTTTTCGAAATTCTACTATATTTATAAGATTAAATAAAGGTTAATATCGCAAGTGCTGATTAGATTTAAAATAAACAAATTAAATAACTCATAGATATTGACGTCTAATAAATAAAAGTACAGTTATGAATGAAGTAAATTATCTATGCCACTTACTTGAGCCATCTATTGAGATATGATACCTTTAGTTTTGGGAGCTTATCAGAGAGCTGATCCTTCTCCCATCCAATCTTCGACTCCAAAATACACAAATCTGAAAATTTTAAGAACCCCCGAATAGGCTTCAATAGCCTCTGGTGATTGGATTCATGGATTTGTCTTTTGATCCGCGTGCTCGATTCTTTATTAGGATACTTATTTCAAGATATTAAGGTTCACAGTTACATATCTTCTTCTTCAGTTCCTTTCTACCTAACACCATCTTAGCACCTATTAGCACTGCCATATCTTTATGAACATTATAAAAATCTGTTTGTTTTGTTGTAATCATGCCATCTTTGTATAAACGCTAATCTAGAAAACATGTTATCTAATTAAATATCCCTTCTTTAGGTGCAGAGAAATGTTCTACAATGTTACATATGAAATGAGTGAAACCGCGCGATAAGGCTAGTGATGTGTGTATAAATAATTTTATTTACGTACACATTAAAACGCATAAATAGCAGGTGGCATGCTGTCGTATCCACTATCTCGGATATTTTCGGCAAAGAATGGAGTGGTAAGTACAATTTTAATAATAATTAGTGTATCTTATTCTCTTTTCATTTTATTTTTGGTCATAATTGCAGTCAATAAGTGCTATTTTAAAATGGCACAAAATTAAATGATTCTTTTCAAAAGCATTTTTAGGAACCGGTTCCATTTGTTCCAAATTTTGCAAATTCAATCCATTTGACCTTCAGTCAAATTTGAACTCCTTCAAAGACGGGATGAGGTGAAACGTGCACATAGTCTCATACGAATTCAGTTTAGATCTTCACTTAATCAAAAATTTTCTTTAAATATAAAAACTACCGGTATAGATATCGACGTTTAAAACACTTAGACGACTTGCTTTGACTGTCAATGAAGTTGTTGTTACCAAGCTATACTAATTTAAATACATTGACCTTGAAAATCTCGTGTGAATGAAAGGAAGCTACAAATTTGATATTTTTCTTAAGACTTAAGACTTTTTAAGGCTTAAGAATGAGATTCGTAGAAAAAAAAGGATTTATACATTTTTTATCACGGTTGACGCGGTGGTGGGGCAACCAACCAAAACCAACTCTTTGTGTGATCCACAAATTGTTGTTCCGGGTCTGGGTGTGATGAGTATGTGAAAGTGTATGTTTGTAAACGCACCTACGACACAGGAGAAATACCTAATGTTAATACAATTCATGTCTTTGTTGTCTATTCAGTTTTGCATCATGTGCAGCTCCGACAACAGGGGGCGCGCCTCTTCTCTTCTCCTCAGCTTTGCAGTTCTTTGCTGCATCACAATGTATACTCGCAGAGGGCTCAGTATCAAATCCTGAAATACAAGGTAAATATTATTTAAGTTGGCTTGAGCAAACATATAAACGCAATGCTCTTCAAGTTTGAAAATTTATATATTTATTTAAAATTAATATGATTTCAGATTTTGAAAAGTTTAGCTTCATAATTGTTGGTGCGGGAACAGCTGGCAGCGTTTTAGCAAACAGATTGAGTGCAAACCCGGAATGGAATATTTTGCTCATTGAAGCCGGTGGAGATGCGCCAGTTGAATCTAATGTAAGTGCTATCAACAATAAAAATCCTATCATAACAAAACATAATAAATTAAAACTTACACTACACTTTAATTAAAATTTTCAGATACCTGCTTTCAACACAGCCTTACAACAGACCAAATATGACTGGGGTTACCTGACCAACAACAATGGCATTACAAATGGAGCTAATATAAACGGTTCCATCAACTGGCCACGAGGAAAAATGATCGGCGGAAGTAGTAATATAAATGCTATGATCTACGTACAAGGAAATGATCAAGACTATCAAAATTGGGTAGATCTGGGTAATCCTGAATGGAGTGTAGAAGAAGTACGTCGATGTTTCAAGAAAGCAGAAAGTTACCAAAATATGGATTTATTAAAAAATCCTAAGATCAGAAATAACTACGGGGTCGATGGCCCTCTAGTAGTTAACACATTTAATAGTACCCAAAGAACAGAAACTTTAAGAATGTTATCTGCGTGGAATGAAATTGGTATCAAAAATGTACCAGACCTAAATTCCGCAAACAATATGGGATCAGGAATATTAAGCGGTACTGCTGCCAACGGAGAAAGAGAAAGTCATAGCAAAGCGTATTTGATTCCAATACTTTCTAGAAACAACTTAAAAATTATGAAAAATTCTCTCGTTACAAAGCTATTAATTAATAACGCCACCAAGACAGTACATGGTGTTGAAGTTGAACATGAATCGGCAACATACACATTTATTGCTGAGAATGAGGTTATTGTTAGTGCTGGAGCTATAAACTCCCCACACCTATTGATGTTATCAGGAATTGGACCTAAAGACCACCTTGAGTCCAAAGGAATCCCAGTAATTGTTGACTCACCTATGGTTGGACAAAATCTACAAGATCATCTTATTGTTCCAATAACTATTTATGGTGACGGGCTTAAGCAAACCAATATAATCGATCAACAATTCGATGCTATTCGATATCTTTACAATCGTACTGGTTATTTGGCACAATTCAGTTCAGCCGATATATTGGCTTTCTTTTCTGATTCCCAAAACGCAACATATCCTAAATTTCAAAGTCACATTTTACTGGCAGAGCAAAATAAAGCAACTTTAAGAAGTTTACTTAAAAATAATTATAGATACAAAAATGAAATAGTAAATCAAATTACAGAATTGAACAAAAATCACACTCTTTATATGTATATGTTTAACCTTCTGCATCCTCATTCTAGAGGCAACATTTCTTTAAGTTCCAGCAACCCACACGATTATCCAATTATTAATCCCAACTACTTTAGCGACCCCAGAGACTTGGAAGCTGCTGCAACTGGAATAAAAATGCTTACCAAATCAGTCGATACTACAGCCTTCAAAGAAATTAACGGCTTCTTAGGAAGAATTGTATGGCCACCGTGTGATCGCTATGAATTAGACAGTAGAGATTACTGGAAGTGTATTAGTATAGAGATGGTACTTACTATTTATCATCCTGTAGGAACGTGTCAGATGGGACCAGATCCGAAGACATCAGTAGTCAACAGTCGTTTGAAAGTCCATGATGTTCGAAACCTTCGTGTAATAGATGCTAGTGTAATGCCCACCACAACAAGTGGTAATACTAATGGACCAACTGGAATGATAGCAGAAAGGGGAGCAGAATTATTGCTAGAGGATTACAACGAATTATGAATTATAGTGTAATTTGTTTGTAAGTCTCATTTACTCCTAATTATTTCATTGTTATGTAACCATTAAATGAGATAATAACAAGACAAATGTAGTATCGTATTAGGAAGAACAAAAATCTTTGTTACTAAGATATACAATAATTCATTTTTTTGCACGAAAATGCAATGTTCAGTGTAAATAAGTGATATTAGAAACACAACTGGTTTAATTAGAAAGTCATAGTTATAAATGTTCAAAATTTTTAATATGAGTGTCTTGCTCGTTCTTTGTTATGTGAATCAACCATTTTTGAATCAGCTCTTAGCTTTACTGGCGCATACAATGACGACCAATTCAAATTTGGGGATTAAATAAAATTAATGCTTTGACTTTTTATCGAATCTGTTAATATTTTCTGATGTTGATATGTCGTTTTTTTTTCTTTATGCTTGACGTTCAAAAGTGCCTGTTGTGGTCTACTTGAAATAAAGAATTTGATTTGATTGATTTGATTTGATGTATGAAATAATAATGCATAACCAAGGCACTTTGTAGCTATAAATATATTAGAAGCTCAGAATAACGAACTCGAAATAGTTTTTCCTCACACTTCGTTTTCTACTTTTTCATTCATACCATCAAGCTGGTTGCACCAATCAAGGTCGCAGGTAAACGTAATAAGGTCCCGGCCCGAAACAGGAGAAGGAACGGGGATGTTCTGAAGTCAGTAAGTTAGAGTCTTAAATAAACTCTTTCTTGCCTCAACCTGGGCGAGATGAGTCATTTCATTTTCCCCCCTCCCAAAATGGGGTGTATGTTGTTGTAGAAAAAACGATCCGAATCCGAATCCGAATCCGAATCCCCAGTAATTCTTAACCCGGCCAGGATATCGAACCTGGGACCTTTAGCCAGATTCACAGTTCCATTTGCAGATCCTCGACCGACGGGGCAGTCTTCCTATTTCTTCAACAATTAGTTGAAGTTGCCTCGCTTTTAGTTTTTACATATATTTGTTTCAGATTAATTTCATGAGTTAAGGTCTACAAAAATTCCCGGCTCTTCATAAAAGTCTATTTTTCTATAAATAATAATTAAAACTCTTTTCTCTTGAAGGTTGGGAGCAATGTACCTACCCCAGACCAAATTTTTTCATTAATGTTATAATTTGAGGCTTGACTTTGCACACAGAACATACGTTTTCTAAGTTTTGTTAGTAATATCAACATTTAGATTCTGGAAGGAATTGTTTAAGGCTAATCTGAAAAACACAAACAAAAGAAATGCATTTTCACATCATTTGATTACGAATTTACAATTAATAAAGCACGCAAAAGATTGTACATTACTTACCAGCAATTTTCAATGTTAACTTTTTCAGCAAATCAACATCTCTGTGCGTTCAACACTACGACAAACCGACATCTGTGCAAACATAACATGAAATATATTATTTCATTGTGAATTATTTGATTTTATGTTGTTTCTTTAACAACATTAACAATTGGATAATAAAAACCTGTTAATGTGCTTCATTTGCATAGTTTCAAAAACTAAATTACGTGGTAGTATATATCGTCATTACTGATATCATTAAACTACTAGATAAGGTTTATTATTCTGGTTTAGTATCAATCTAAATAGGTTACCTTCTTTATCCCTTTAGGAAAATCGATACAATATAGAAAATTCAAAATTGGCGTAAATAATAGTAGGGATAAAAGACAATATCCAAATTGGCCCTGTGCAATAAAGAATAACTGAATACACGATAATTAATGGTCTATTTTATTATATATTGCGAATATTAATAATATATATTTATTAAAAGAATATTCGAAATATATATGTGTTTTCTGGAATGGACATTTAATAGTACTTTATGTTAACTATTTAGCTTATTTCTTAAAAAATATTCAGAGCTGACAAATACTTAATTCGTTATTATAGTTAAATTATACCTAAATTTTCAGATTATTTTTTAAATTATATTTATTCTGCAGCAATTCCACTATAAAATAAGATAGTATAGAAGTTTACTAATGATAGAGATTATAATACATAATATATATTTCCGATGTTATGGCTCCAGGGCTAACACTGAAGGCACGCAGAGCAATGTCCTGTATGAGAGCAAAGTGATACCACGGCGTCTCATGCCAAACTGGCGTTAAGGCAGCGTTGTGTGATGCGAGTCAGTGAGGTTAGCGTAAGGCCCAATACAAAAGTCTCTAAAACCCAACCTAAGTGCTGAAACGCACTCGTAATTCCTCTGGTGTTGCAGGTGTCCACAGAAAGCGCCACCAGATAGTTCAAATCAAGTAAAACACATGATCGTTTGCCACCCTATCACTTCAAAACTGAGAGATTTTTCTCACACCACTCCTTAATTTATCTACACAACTTTTTGAGACAATGATGCTATCAAATGACAAACTTGAATGATATTTTGTTTTTGTTTTGTTCTGTAAATAAAATGAAAAAATAATAGCATTCAAAACGTTTATTTGAATAAAATCACATACACGACGACAATAAATATCTGAGCAAGGTTTTTTCCGTCTAAGACACGAATAAAGAAACAATTAGTGTAAGGTGTTGATAAGTTTTATTGTTTAGTTTATGTGGTGTATAATACTGTCTTGCTGGCAGTGTCAGGGTTATTATTTGCTTTAAGCTTTAATTAAACATGTTAAAATTACGACTATCTTCAATTCACATCAGTTTTCCTACGTGATGGAGTGGTAAGTAGTCATTATAATAATTAGTGTTGTATTAAAAAAAAATGAAATTTTTTTGTTTATATTTGAGTATTCTTGGTTTTTTTCTAAGTTTGAAAAATGTGTGTGTTTAGAAAATATTTCTATTAATCTTAAACTATATTAAATGTCAGGTGAAAAATAAATGTAAGGTTGTGAAAACTGCTGAACGGATCGAATTAAATTAGTCCCTAAGGTTGATAATCTATGCAGTACTCGTATACCACATACTTAGGAGGTTTTATTCAAATTAATCTTTAGTTTTCGCATGTGAACCAACAGTAATTGGTATGATTGGCTCTAATATAAAAATAATATTTATTTATTTTTTGTTTGTTTTTCCAGCTACAATGCCTCGTGTTCTACGCCTACAACTGGCACTGCTTCTCAGACCTTCGTCTCGGCAATACAATTCTTTGCAGCGGCACAATGTGTAATGCCAGAAGATCCAGTACCAAATCCGGACATACCGAGTAAGTAATGATTTTTTGTATTAAGTATATCTTATTAGAGTTTCTTCGAAAATGTTAAATTTTTTTAGTAAAATAGGGGAAAATAGACATGTCTGTGCATGCCACATAGCATCAGCCTATAAGTGCCCACTGTAAACATAGGCCTCATCTCAGACTAGGCCTCAGGAGGAGCATATATTCCTCACGCTAGCAAAAGGTGGACTGACGATTTCAAACTTATAGCTAATTCGAAATTATACGTCTAGGTTCACACCTTCTGTAAGCACCGTAGATCAGTTGTGCCTAAATAATCTTAGAAAATATGTACATACATAGCTTGGAAAAAGCCAAATTGGTACTTGCCAAGTTTCATATCCTCATGCATGAGAAGCCTAAAACCTCCTGGTTACTACGTTTTGATTTGACTTTGCATTTTTATAATGGTATCTTATTTTGTATTTTTTGATATATTTTGATAACTATACAACAGTCATCTATATGGTAACAACTTTTTTTTATAAACATGCATCGTCCTGCCTGTCCCGCGTTCATGGGTACTTACGTCCTTTATCATGGGAAAGACAGAGACAATAGAACACCAACATTGCATAATCCTGACTCTTTCAGTGCCACATTCATCAATCTTTTCATGCATACTCATCGATTTAGGGTTCCGTAGTAAACTAGGGACACTTATGGTTTCGCCATGTCTGTCTGTCTGTGGTGATTGCCGCGACGATACGGCGCTGCATACCTTGGCGGAGTGCCCAGTTTGCGCCGAGCAGCGTCGTGACCTGGTCGCGGCCGTAGGTGCTGCGGGAAATCTCTCGCTTCCGGCTGTAGTGTCTACTATGGTCGGGAGCGAGTCAGGGTGGAGAACCGTCGCTACCTTCTGCGAGGTCGTGATGCTCGCAAAGGAGGCGGTGGAAAGGGAGAGAGAGACTGCCTCCTCTCTCCCCTCCCGCAGCAGACTACGGTGGCCGACCTGCGGCCGCGGGCGCGGCCTGTGGACGACAGACTCGGGGCGTCTTGTCGTATGACCAGCAGCAGGCCTCGAGGTGGCGGCGCCGTGTTCCGCGCGCGCCTCATAGTGGAGTCCTGCGGTCGGGGTGACGGCCGCAGTGGGTGACGGGGCCCGCCTTACCATCTGGCGGGCCAATACCCGTCGGGGGGTTGCGACGAATGCTTCGGCGATACCCGCCCCTCCGACACATGGGTTATTGGAGGAACACCGGGTTGGTTTTTAGTCAGTAAGAGTCTGACAGTACCTTCGCCCTTACCCGAGGGCGGTGGGTCTCCATGAGGAGAGGATTTCCAAACCCAAAAGCAAAAAAAAAAAAAAAAATGGCACCAATATGGAACGCCAAAAAAGTAGTAAATTGGGGTACACGTAAAGTAGGGAATGATATTTTTTTTAGTTTTAACCCTAACATGTGATATATTGTCGGATATGTATTCAACAATGAAAAGGAGTTTATTAAGATATTTTTTTGATTATATTAACATTTTCGGAAATAATTGCTCTAAAAGTTTTAAAAAGGGCGTCAATCCCCTCTGTTACACAGTTTTTAGAATATTGTACAAAACAAAAACGGAACTAATTTTGTAACGTAATTGTTATTTTTTATATTTTATTATTCTAAACGTATCTTCTTTCAAATAGAAAAAGAAAAGTATTATTAAAATTGGTTTACGGAATCCAAAATTACCAACGTGCCTTAATTTACTAAGAGATGGCGCTGTACTGTTGCTACTTACGCTGAATAGCGGTTTTAAGATTTACAATAACTCTTAAATGGGGATACTTATTATGACAGACAGGATGCTACGGAACCCTACGATAAGCGATGGATGAGCGAAACCCGATACGGTCTTGGCCGGGTTTCAAAAATCGTCAATTTGGTCGATATGCATGGTCGATGCAAAAAAATAATACACGATTAGTAATCTACTTCAGCTCAGAGACCTCAAAGATTACCAAAAATATCAGCCTCAAATATAGTATAGTCATAGCCCATATATAAATATGGCCTATAAATATATCAAATAATACATAATGGTATATATGCATAATATATATGTGTGTTTTGAGAGAGCCATTTTTTGGCGCGAATGGGTCATTAAACTCATACTATTTAAGTAAACTTGGTTATTATTTTTGCGCCAAAACAGAATTGTGATTTTTATGTAGTCAATTAAATTATCTTAAGATGACACCTATAAATTCATTGACCGCGGAAATTATTTCATTCCCACGAATAAACATACTTTATAATATTTATTATTACCATACAATTACAGTTTTTCACACAACTACAATCGAACAATTGTATACACGCTAATATTATGTTGGAATACACGTGTACCTTATAAAAAGTTAAATAAGATTCACTCAAAAAAATAAACGAATAGGTAATTTTGTCGTGTAAAAAAGTTTTAAGTAGCATTTTTTTCATTTACAGATTATGAAAAATTTCACTTCATTATTGTCGGTGCTGGAACAGCTGGTAGCGTGTTAGCAAACAGGCTGAGTGCAATACCCGAATGGAATGTTTTACTCATAGAAGCTGGTGACGATGCACCTGTTGAGGGTGCTGTAAGTATCTTATTACTATAATTCAATTTAACAAATTGGTATTTTGATAAATTCATTGCAAATGTCAGTATTAATTTCGATCCTAGGACCAACTGAATTTTATGCACCAAATATTAATTATTTTTCTTCCATAGATTCCAGGTTTAGACAAGGGTATGTTTCAAACGAAATATGATTGGTCTTACAAAACAAACAATAATGGAAGAACCAATGGGGCCAATATAAACGGCTCCATCTTCTGGCCACGTGGAAAAATGATTGGAGGAAGTAGTAACTTAAACGCTATGATATACGTACAAGGAAATGATCAAGATTATCAAAACTGGGTGGATCTTGGTAATGCTGAATGGAGCGTCGAAGAAGTCCGCCGATGCTTTAGGAAAGCAGAAAATTTTCAAGATTTGAAATTATTGCAGAATCAAGAAATTAATGAGCACTATGGACATGATGGATATTTAGTCATTAATACATTTAATACTACCTATGGTACTGTTACGCAGAGAATTCTGTCTGCATGGGACGAAAATGGTTTTAAAAATGTACCAGACTTAAATGTAGCACAATCATTAGGATCTGGTGTCACAAGAGCTACAGCTGCATCTGGGAAGCGACAAAGCCACAGCAGAGCGTATTTGGATCCAATACTTGACAGGAAGAACTTAAAAGTTATCAAAAATAGTTTTGTAACTAAAATTTTAATCAAAAGGTCAAATAAAACTGCTTACGGCGTGGAAGTAGAACGGAACTCAAAAAAATATACTTTCTTAGCTTCTAAAGAAGTCATTTTAAGTGCAGGTGCCGTAAACTCTCCTCAAATTCTAATGTTATCAGGAGTAGGCCCAAAATCACATCTTATATCGAAAAATATTCCAGTTTTAGTCGATTCGCCCATGGTTGGTCAGAACCTACAAGATCATTGTATAATTCCAGTCACAATATTTGGCGATCAACCAGGACCACAAAATATAGCTGATCAACAGTTTGGTGTTATTCAATACCTTTATAATCGTACAGGTTATTTGGCACAAAACAGTATAGCTGACATTTTAGCATTTTATTCGGATGACGTCAATGCAACATATCCGAAATTTCAAAGTCATGTTAGCTTGATGTGGAAAAATAGCTCTAATATTCAACAAGCTCTCACAAAACGTTTTAGATTTAAAGATCAAGTAGCCCAACCATTGATTGAAACGAACAAAAACCATACATTATATCTGTTCCTATTTAATCTTTTGCATCCGTACTCTAGAGGAAACATTTCTTTATGTACCAATAACCCACATGACTATCCAATTATTAATCCAAATTATTTTATTGATCCCAGAGATTTAGAATCAGCAGCAATTGGACTCAAAATGCTCACAAAAATGTTGAATACCACAGCTTTCAGAGAAATCAATGCCTTCTTAGGAAGAATGGAATGGACACCGTGTGATATTTATGAATTAGACAGTATAGATTATTGGAAGTGTGTTTGTGTAGAGATGGTACTTACCGTGTACCATCCTGTAGGAACATGTCAGATGGGACGTGAACTCAAGACATCGGTAGTAGACAGTCGCTTGCGAGTTCATGGTGCACGAAACCTTCGTGTGATAGATGCTAGTATAATGCCAACGCTGACTAGTGGTAACACTAATGCTCCAACTGGGATGATTGGAGAAAGAGGAGCAGAATTGATACTAGAAGATTATAACAAGTTATGATACATTTATTTTTACCTTAGTAACGTTTTGTTGTTCATTTCTATCACCATGCTAAGCTGAATGATTTCTATCATTGAAATCTATTTTAATGTATTAATTATAAAGTCTTAAAGCCGTTTGGTTTAATTTTTGGCAGTAAGATCCATATTTTTACCGGGGCCTATCAGTCTAAGATTGTTCCTTTTACACTGAGTACAATTTTATTTAAACCAACAAACAATTAATCGTTATCTTCTTATCCACTAGATTATAATTATTCTACCTTCTAATGTAAGTTTCCTTTTTATCTATTAATTATCTCGTTTCTTGTTTACCATTGTTGATTCTAATTCCTTGTCTTTATTTGTTTTCTAAACCATTGCCATAAAATATGTCGCTGAACCTTGTGATGTAAAAACAAATATTGTGATAGAGTAACGACCTTGCTATGGAAGTTTTAAAGGTCACCAATAAATCTGGAAATGCTGTATAATGTGATACATGGAATAAAATATTGCAATTAATAAAACCACTACTAATCATTAGTAATGTTATGATTTAAATTGGTTCTTTGGGGTTTAGAAATTTGTAAAAATCCATTATTATACTAGAATAGGATTTTTACTATCGGTCTGTCCGTCGCCTACCTGTGATTTTGAAACTTGTCAAAATATCGAATTGTTTACAAAACATGTACATGACATGATATAATTAGTTTATAAGCGCTTACCACTTAGCAAAGGTCTCTTCTCACATGGAAAACATATGAGCATTAGCTCAAGTTGAATTAACGATTTCATACTTTTAATTAGAATTAATGAAGTTCAGGTTTCCTGACGATGTATCTTGATGATATGTTGCCTTAATAATGTTGGAAAGTACAAAGTAATTGAAAATTATCAAATCTGATACTTGCTAGGTCAAGAAACCTCATGCCTGCGAAGAACTAACTAACTCGACGGCGCACATACGCAAATAAATAGGATTTTTAAGAACGCTTGTTGTCATCCGATGCTGAAGTCCTTTGTATCTGTGCCCTAATCACTGCGACGTGGGAGTGTGAGAGAGCCACGCTTTGACAGTAATAGAACTAAACCAGAACTGCTTAACAGAAAATCAACGTGTAACAATTTTCAAATCCCTAACCTCCACAAGGCTTGATGCTCCTCAGGTGCTGTAGGTGTCCATGTGCAGCGTTATTTGCTTACCATCCGATAATACATGTATAGTCTGAAACTTCATCACATAAAAAAAAACTGTAAAGAAATACTGCCTAATGGACATGATCAACACTATCAAAATAGGGTGGGCTTTGGTAATGCTGAATGGAGCGTTGAAGAAGTCCGTCGATGCTTGAGGAAACTCCAATGGTGTGAAACTCCAATCAGGATACATAAGTATGTAATATTTACTGTTGGTAATATTACAATTATTGGCGGTGAGCCCATTGGTGCAAAAAACAGTTTTCTTTTACTATAAATTAAAAAGTAGGAAAGATAGATAACCGAGAGAGATATGATTTACAATAAGTTTATAAAGTTCATAAATAATTCGGATGTATATTAAGTTACTCGCTACTCTCGCGCGGTTGCACCCACTGCTCTGCTCCATTTGATCGTAGCGTGATATTTTTAGCCTATGGTACTCAGGAACATTGTAGCTATCTATCAGAGAAAGAATTTTGGCAATCCGACCAGAGGTTCAAAAGATTACCCCCTACATACAAACGTATAAACTTACAAATTTTACCTCTTTATAATATTTGTATAGATTAAGAGTTAAAGAGAAGTTCCCAATAGTACATTTCTATTTTAACTATCTTTTAATTGTGATATCTAGTACAAACAGCGAAAGCAAAATACTGTAAAAGCTACTTCTTTTTCCATAATTGCCGAGAATTAGCCTTTCTAAGGAAATACCAGTTATAGTTGATTCTCCAATGGTAGGCCAAAATCTGTAGGATCATTTTATGATTCCTATCATGACATTTGCTGATGAAACTGGAGAGCAAAGTGAAGCTGATCAAGAATTCACATTCACGGCACGGGGTATCTGTCACATAGCCCCCTTATAAATACTCTGACATTTTACCTTGACAACGCAAGAGCCACGTATCTCAAGTTTCATAGTGATTTTGCAATGATATGGAAAAATAGTACCTTTGTTGAACAAATTTTAAACTCATGGTTCCGGTACAAAGAACAAGTAACAAAACCATCAATTGAATTAAACAAGAACATGCAACTTACATGTTTACATTTCATACTCTACATCCTGAATCAAGAGGAAGTATTAGGTTGCAGTCAAATATTCCTCGAGATAATCCAATTATAGATCCGAACTACTTCAGTGATTCTTGAACAAGAAACAGAGAAAACTGACAAAAGTTTTGCATAGGTACTTCAGAATTTAGAGTAATTATTGCCTTTTTGGGAAGAATGGAACGGCTACAATGTGATATTTACGAATGAGACAGTAGAGATTATTGGATACTAGCTCTTACCCGCGGCGTCGCTACCGTCATTTGACTACCTAACCTAACCTACTCTGCCTACTCTAACCTAACCTACCCTACTTTACCTACTCTACTCTACCTTCCCTACCTTACCTACCCTACTCTACCTACCCTACTGTACCTATCCTACTCTACTCTACCTACCTTACTCTACCTACCCTACCCTACCTACCTACCCTTCCCTACCCTACTCTACCAACCCTACTCTACCTACCCTACACTACTTCCCTACCAATTTTCAGCTAAATTGGTTCAGCCGTTCTTGAGTTATAACTGGAGTAACTAACACGACTTTCTTTTATACATAATAAAGATGTAGATATACCTATAGATGTGTTTGTACAGAGATGGTGTTTACTGTATATCACCAAATCAAATAGGACCAAATCCAGAGACGTCAGTAGTAGACAGTTGGTTGAGAGTTCATGGAATCTCAAACCTTCTGTGATAAATGCTAATATAATGCCGACACTCTTAACAGTGGCAATTATTTTCTATTTTTTTATTCCTTAATTTATTTTAACTTCATGCACAACCAAAATTTTGCATAAGGAGGACTTAGTGCAATTAGCATTCTCTTTCAGTCTACCTTTGGGTGCTATGCAGAGACAATCCAGTGGTAATGTAGTTTGTAATTTTTTTGAAACTGGTAAGTCAGCATAATTATGATATGCCATTTTGAATAAAATATCGTTCAGAATATTCAAATAATATATTTTATGCTCGGGGTCTCTTTGCGCGACAAAATCCAAAATGTGGAAATTCGCCAAAGAACCAAAGTCACCGACATAGCTCGTAAAATTCGCAGGCTAAAGTGGCAATGGGCAGGCCACGTCGCTCGAAAGACGGACGGTCGTTGGGCCCGAAAAGACCTAGAGTGGCGATCAAGGACCGGAAAACGTAGTCTGGGCAGGCCTCCCGCTAGGTGGACCGACGACATTGTCAGAGTCGCGGGGAGCCAATGGATGCGGGCGGCAACTTGTCGTTCGACGTGGAGAGCTAACGGGGAGGCCTTTGTCCAGCAGTGGACGTCTTCCGGCTGACGATGATGATGATGATGATATTTTATGACAATATTTTATAATTTGAATTTAAAAGATGAAGCAAGTGGTTATTTTAGTCCAATTTGATTTATTTAGGTAGATATTTATTAGGTTAGCTGTATGAGATACTAAAATATAAGAAACACATTTACAGTGAAATAACTACTTACTAGGTAACACAACAAGCACAGAAAAATGATTAACATTCAATTTATAGGACTTTATAAAAACAAATACTGTCATTAATTGACTGAACAATGACATGGCACTAACCCATTATTATTCTATTAATTTTATACTTGTAACACAGGTACACCAGGTACTGCACTAGCGTCTCCAGTTGCAATAGAGCACGTTTCTCTTCACGTTTACTCTATGAGTATAACTGTGTCCTTTCTTACATGTTTACAAAGATACCTGAATGTGTCATACAAAAGTTTGTTATGATATTCATACTATACCTAGTCTTTATACAGCGTGAAATTAAAAACATTTGTTTAAATATTTATTTTTAAGCCGAGTAAAAGTGACATTCGCTTTTACTACTACAGAATTAAAATTCAGTTTTCCTTGAGAAAATTGTTGAGTACCCGATTGTACTAATAGGATAGCTATTAGATCTTAAAGATAAGTTTATTAAACTGGTAACTAAATGATCGACTTCACCTAAAGTCGACGTCGATATCGTTGAGTACGTCTCTAACACCGACACGTAACTTGTCAAGGAGTATCAAGCCCTTGATCTATTCCCTACTCCGGCTGGGGCGTGAAGAGCTTAGTTTCCTCACGCGCTCTGCATCTTTTTGTGCGAGCATTACTGCTTGGCAGAAAAAGGACACGGCTTCCCAGTTTCTTCCGTGACCTCAGCACTTCTGACGACCATGCTTAGGCATTGCACGCCGCCACTGTATGCTCTCTTCTAGTTTCCGGGTGTTCCTCACTATAACGACAGGCAGGGCCTTTCCTCCCGCTGGATTTAACATTGCCGAATGAAACGTGTACCTCCTGAAACTTTTGTGTCCGGTAAAGCTGCGGCAGAAGTCGAGGACGCCATGGCACCTATCTAGAAACTCTTCAAAGAGGGGTCTTAGTCTTAGAAGCAATACCTTAATTTACTCTACAAATCACGCTTTATCCCAATGGGGTCATCGTACTCACAGACCTGTCCGAATTCTCTATAGCGTGGGGTTGTACTTCATTGTTCAGAACAAGTCTAGCCCCCTAATTAACTATATCTCCGCGTGGAACCTTCTTCTAATCCTTTTAGCACGTGGACTCATTCTTATTTAATTTACGAATGAAATGACAAATGGGCATGTCGCTCAGAAGAAGCTCATTATTACCACGGGAACCATCCACAAATCCATTTTGAGATGTAGGTAGGATATTATTTGTCGTCTTCAATACGTTTATACATTTTTTTGTTATCAAAAGATATTTAAAATATTTATAAGTTACATATAATTTATAATATAGCGGTACTCCCAAACTTTTGGGGCAGGTTGATAATAATTGGTAGAAAATTGATAATAACTACAAAACTAATTGGAAATGAGACGCCGAGCGATTATGCGAACTGATAAACGGATATTTTTATTAGTATTAATTCGGTTTAAAATGCTTGATTGTTGTGATACACGTTGTAGTGTGACGGAATCAAAGGACAATAATTGAAGAAACATTCATATTTAAATAAGAAAAGACATCCTTTTAAAAGTAATAGTATTCATAACATTTTCAAAGGTTTTTTTTCAAAGTATTTCAATATCAGAAACAGTTGTAATTTAACAGCCCTTCAAACAGTAAGGATGGATTGGTAAGTGAAATGTACTTTATTTCTAATTTAAAATTTGCATCATTAGTGAAGCTTGAAAAAGTTTGCTCTTATCACATCAACAGCCTATTCGCGTCCATTGCTGAGCCTTTTCGCACACGGAATTAGATTGAGCATTAATCACCTCGCTTGCTTAAGGCGGTTTGGTGAATTCAAATTTTTACGTCAGAATTGTAAGTTTAGATTCCATCTTGAGGTTTTCTTTTTCTATTTGTTGTTGATGCTTTAATAATCTTTTCAATGTCATGATTAAAATCGGTAATCCAATAATCAAAATCACTGCCAAGAAATTTGTTAACTTCAAGATCATTGACAATCAGCGTAACCTAATTTAAATGTCGAACAAATCCTTTGTATTAAGATAAGTTACTGTAATAATCGGAAACATTTTACTTGAAGTTATCCACGTAAAGAAAATTTTTGAACGGTAAAAATAGAATGTCCTTCTGTTTTTTTCTGTAATTTTTTCTTTTCAATCGACATTACAGAGTTTCATGTATAAAAGCACAATGCTTACGAAAAACAAAAAAACAAAAAAATATTTTTTTCGTAATTTACTTTTCCAGTTACAATTCATCATGTTTGTCCCCAACAACTGGTGTAGCTCCACTCATCTTCTCTACAGCATTCCAGTTTTTAGCCACATTACAATGTGGCATTACCGAAGGATCAACACCAGACGCCAATATAACAGGTTAATCATTAATATTATGATTTCTATATATTTTTATAAATTATACAATATTTTAGTTCAGATAGCAAGGTTAATACGAAAACAATATAATAGATATTGACTGCACGGTTGGTGCGATGGCTGGGCAACGGCCGCACAACGTGTCGCGGATTCCCGCACGGAACAACTCTTTGTGTGATCCACAAATTGTTGTTCCGGGTTTGGGTAGCCGGGTCACAGTTAACGAACTGTGTAATGCAATCGAAGAAAATGAATAAAGCAGACATCTAATTGTTGAATAATCATGAAACTTAATAATTATGCATATGTGGATTAGATGGTTACACAATGCGTGTTTTTTAATAAGAATTGATTGTACACAGTACATAGTCTAAAGGCCTGACCCCATTATATACGCCAATTTCCTTTTCCAATAGATGGAGAAAGTTTCCATTTCATAATCATCGGAGCTGGAACTGCTGGCAGTGTACTCGCGAACAGATTAAGTGCAGTACCAGAATGGAAAGTTTTACTCGTTGAAGCTGGAGACGATTCTCCCGTAGAAGCTAATGTAAGTTTAAAAATATTTTTAAAATCGTATACGTTGATATACTCGTATGTATACTAAAGTTATTGAAAACAAATATTTTAGATTCCAGGCTTACACGCAACTTTACATCATTCAAAATATGACTGGGATTACTTGACAGTTAATAATGGAAGAACAAACGGAGCTAATGTAAATGGATCTGTAAGCTGGCCTCGCGGGAAAATGATTGGTGGTTGCAGCAACATAAATGCTATGATCTACGTACAGGGAAATGATCAAGACTATCAAAATTGGGTTGACCTTGGTAATCCTGAATGGAGTGTCGAAGAAGTTCGTCGTTGCTTTAAGAAAGCAGAAAGTTTACAAGATATGAATATGTTGAACAATCCTGATATTAGCAAACACTATGGTCACGATGGACTATTACCTATATCCTCATTCAATTTCACATACCCACATCTAAGAGATAAAATTTTATCAGCTTGGAACAAAATCGGTATTAAGAATGTACCAGATTATAACGTAGCAAATGTATTAGGATCTGGTCGCATGAGAGCTACAGCGGCTTCTGGGGAAAGACAGAGTCATAGCAAAGCTTATTTAAACCCAGTTTTAGAGAGGAACAACTTAAAAATTATGAAGAATAGCTTAGTAACAAAACTGTTATTTAAACAAGGTTCTAAAATTATTGAGGGAGTTGAGGTAGACCATGATTCTAAAACATTTAAATTTTATGCTACAAATGAAGTTATTGTAAGCGCAGGTGCGATAAACTCTCCACAGCTATTAATGTTATCTGGGATTGGGCCAAAAGATCACCTTATTTCTAAGGACATCCCAGTCGTTGTTGATTCTCCGATGGTAGGGAAAAATTTACAAGATCACCTTTTTATTCCCATTTTCATATTTTGTGACGAAACTGGAGAGCAAAGTATAGCCGATCAACAGTTTGATGCCATTCGCTATATTTATAATCGCACAGGCTATTTATCACATAACATTGCCATCGACGCTTTGGCATTTTACTCAGAACACCCAAACGCCACTTATCCTCAATTTCAAAGTCATATTGCAATACTATGGCAAAACAGTCCGTATATGACAGGCTTTTTAGATTCATGGTTTAGATATAAAGATGAAGTAAAAAAGCCATTGATTGAACTAAACAAAAAGCATGCTATTTATATGCATGGTTTTCATACACTACATCCAGCATCAAGAGGAAGTATTTATTTGCAATCTAAAGATCCCCGAGTTCATCCAATCATTGACCCCAACTATTTCGGTGACCCTGCAGATTTAGAATTAACAGTAACTGGAATAAAAATGCTTACCAAGATAGTGAATACCGCTGAATTTAAAAATATTAACGGTTTTTTAGGAAGGATGGAATGGCCACCATGTGATAATTATGAATTAGACAGTCGAGATTACTGGAAGTGTATTTGTATAGAAATGGTGGTTTCTGTTTATCATCCTGCAGGAACATGTCAAATGGGACCAGATCCGAAGACATCAGTAGTCAGCAGCCGTTTAAAAGTCCATGGAGTTCGTAACCTTCGTGTGATAGATGCTAGTGTAATGCCAACGCTGACTAGTGGTAACACTAATGCTCCAACTGGGATGATTGGTGAAAGAGGAACAGAATTAATTCTGGAAGACTACGACAAATTGTGATTGGATTAAAATCACGTCGTACTTTTGAAACCTATTAATTAATATTTCACATAAGAAATCACAAGTTTAAATTACTAAAATATAAAACAATGCAATAAACCTAAATAAACAATTTCTGCTAGTGATTTTTTTATGATATCTTTTTCTTCATGGATTTATTAGATATTTGGTAGTCAAATGAAAAAACTGCTGCTTCTTTTAATTCATATCAATTTGAATTTATTTTAAGTACTTTTAAATTCGATATTTTAAAGATTTGTTTTTGAACCATCTTCCCTTTATTTAAAATATTGATTGATATTAACAAAACAAAGATTTGTCTAATAGTTGCGCAATAATGACTGGAAAGTGACAAAAAAGGCATTAGCATTTAGTTATACCTATAGACAAAAAACGAATAACAAATTTAAAAATAACTTAAACAAAGTGTAAAATACACGTATGTCTATGGCAAAAGAGTTACTATCGCTTTATATAATGGTTAGTATAAGAGTTCTGTAAAAGGTTTTCAGCTAGCAACAAGACTGCGCTCTCTCAACGTCGTGCCATTTCTATTAATCGATTACGATCTCATTTTTGGAGGACTTTAAGTATCCATGAGCCTAAAGATATTTATACGGAAATAGATCGTGATGCAGGCGAATAAACAGTAAATTTTATAATAAATGAGATCTGGATTTAAACAGTACATTTGAATCCTACCCATTTGTGGTTTAACAACAAGTTCTTAATGGTTCTGGTGGATAATCATCGACTTCTCCCGCTCTTGTTGGAGTGAGGAGTGACTCTGGCTTACTAAAAGGTACTCCGTTTTTTCTCCTACTATAAATAAAAACGATTTTAATACATACATATGTGGTTTTAGTGTATCAGGTATACTTTTTTTATGGAATAGGAGGCAAACGAGCAAACGAATTACCTGATGATAAGCGAACGGCGCCGCCCATGGGCACCTGTGACTCCTCTGGTGTTGCAGGTGTCCATTGGCGGTGCCGTTCCCGAGGACACCTGCAACACCAAAGGAGTCACAGGTGCGTTGCCGGCCTTTTCAGAAGGAGTACGATCGTTTCTTGAAGGTTTGAAGGTCGAATCGGTTCGGGAATACCGCCGCCGCAAGATCATTCCAAAGTTTTGCTGTGCGGAGCAGAAAGTTACGCGTGAATCGCACAGTTGTTGACTGCCAACCATCTATGTGATGGGGATGAAAATGTTATCGCGTGGAACGATGGCTAAAAGATGCGGCGGGGATCAAACCGAACAATTCCTAAGAACACTACCTGTGATAAATACGATAGAGGATACATAGCGAGGCTACATCACTACGCAGTCCCAAAGATTCCAGCCGGTCCGAGACAACAGAGCAGTCTACAATTCGGCAGCTCGTCGTTGAATGCAGTCCAGGGAGAGAAGACAGTATTCCATATGGGGCCGAACTTGCGCCTTGTAAAGTAACAGGCGATGCCCCGGGGTGAAACACTGCCTCGATCTATTGAGCACACCAAGCTTCTTCGAGGCTAACTTGGCCTTACCCTCTAGATGACCGCGGCACTAGACTTCACTCGATAAGTCGACGCCAAGTATCCCGAGGCTGTGACTTAGACTTCGGTATCTACTTCTGCCACCAGAAGGCGCCTTTGTTGCCGTTTAGTGGTATACATTAAAAATAAATTTGCTTAATCATTCCAATTAGAAACACTAATATTACTCCTTTTTTGCATTTCATGTGTTTAAACATACACGAAAAGAGTAAACGTCATTTGCATTTTCACGTGCACAGAAGTAATTAAAATTCGTTTTCACTATCTATATAATAAAGTTTTATCAGACGATTTGTCCCAAATCAAATAATATGTGGTTCTCATGCTTAAATAGTACCTAATAGATTGTACATAGGATAATCTATGAATGAACTGCAGAATAAAAGCTTACGAGGAGCTTAAGGAGGAGCCAAGGGTTGCGGGTCTAGCGCAATAATGTCTGCCGCTCTGTCCTGCAGTTGGAAAAGGAACGATGTGCTTTTTAGTAAAAGCCGGAAATCATCAAAAGACTGACTGACTCCTCTCTCCCTGGCTAGGCGGATTGATAATTTTCTATACTAAAAAAAAACAATCACGCCACAATTGGGAATAATGCGTTTCTGACCTTATAAAAACGTTTTACCGAATTAACATTTTGATCAGCTAGCAGAAGTACCAGAGGGCAGGGAAAACCGACGAATACTTTTCTGAACCACAATATAGAAAGGTGAATTAAGCAATGGTGTCATGTGGCTAATGAGGTTTGATACTTTTAGCAACCAAACCCACAAACCAAACACTAGTTTAAAAAACCTAAAAATGTAGTGGACTATTAAGCGGAAAAAATATTAAAATACAATGACACCTAACTAAATATATAAAAGAAATTAATTAATAATTTATTTGTTTATGATAATTATAGGGGGTTTGTTGCATTCATCAACATACTTAATGAAATATATAAGGAAAGGCTTGTAATACATCCTAAATTAGTTGAATTATGGCGACGTAAAGGATTTCTTCTGGAGGAAATACTTTAGCCATCTTATACCAACTGCTATTTAGTTCAATTATTATATCTCTAATCAAGACAACGATGGAGTGGTGAGTGAATATTTAGAAAAAAATTCACTTTTAATGTATAAGTTTCATACAAAATAACTTGAACTAACCAAAAAACAAGAAATTTCTGATATCTTCTCACCTATTTTCATAAGACGAGAAGAAGAAGTAAACCTTTTATTCTGAAATCTTATCTAAACTAATGGACGTAATTATTATTTTCTTTCCAGTTTTAATTCATCATGCGTAACTGCAACGACGGGTGTAGCTCCATCTGTCTTTGCTTCAGCAATTCAGTTTTTAGCTGCATTACAATGTGGCGTTTCACAGGGAATACCAGACACTGACGTGACAAGTAAATAAAATATTTAATATTTTTGAAACACATACATTAATTATAAATTACTCCTTCATATCATTTTGGAAATACATGGGATCCAACTGGCATCGCAAGCATAAATCCAAGCTACCAGTATTTAGCGGTTCAGAGACAGATACTTACCTACAGTGCATGCCGATTGTAGAAAATCTCTCTTTTGAATAAGGAACTTGGTTCTATTTTTTCTTGTAACACTAAACAAAATATTATGCTATGTAGAAAGTCCTAATGTAACACTGAACAAAATGTGACTATCAAGTAAAGTGGTTTGGCTTGGTAAGTGTTTAAATCCTAAAATTATTATTGTTTCTTCCTTTGTCATAGATGGAGAAAGTTTCAACTTCATAATCGTGGGAGCTGGAACTGCTGGCAGTGTCCTCGCAAACAGATTAAGTGCGGTACCAGAATGGAAGGTTTTACTCATTGAAGCTGGAGGTGACGCTCCAATAGAATCTGATGTATGTACATGTATATAAACATCTCTCTCGAGTGCCTTTAATAATTATATATGTTATATTTAAATATGATGATACTGATTTCCTTAAATATTTTATAAGATAAAAACTTGGCATTAAGAACTAACATAATTTCCTAAAAAATATCTTTGAACAAATTCATACGAAGTAAGAGGCATAAAAACAATATATACTAATAATTGTTTCTTTCATTTCTCTTTACCTATGTTTTAGGTCCCCGCGTTATCTACGAACTTATACCACACGAGGTGCGATTGGGATTATTGGACGGCTCCTAATGGAAGGACACACGGAGCTACTATAGACGGATGTATAAATTGGGCACGTGGAAAAATGATGGGTGGAAGTAGCAGTATCAACGCTATGATCTACGTACAAGGAAATGACCAAGATTATCAAAATTGGTTCGACCTTGGTAATCCTGAATGGAGTGTTGAAGAAGTTCGTCGGTGTTTTAAGAAAGCAGAAAGTTTACAAGATATGGATATGTTGACCAATCCTGATATAAGCGATCACTACGGGCACGATGGAGCATTAACTGTAAACTCATTTAACTACACACACCCACATCTTAGAGAAAAAGTATTATCAGCTTGGGATGAGATAGGTTTTAAGAATGTGCCAGATTATAATGTTGCCAACGTATTAGGATCTGGACGCATGAGAGCAACAGCTGCTTCTGGAGAAAGACAAAGCTTTAGTAAGGCTTATTTAAGGCCAATACTTAACAGAAAAAACTTGAAAATCATGAAAAATAGCTTAGTAACAAAATTGATATTTGATGATGACTCTAAAACTGTTCGTGGAGTTGAGGTAGAACGTGATTCAGAAACATTTCAATTATTTGCTACTAAGGAAGTGATTGTAAGCGCAGGTGCCATAAACTCTCCACAGCTTTTAATGTTGTCTGGGATTGGACCAAAAGAACACCTTCTGTCAAAGGAAATCCCAATCGTAGTTGATTCTCCAATGGTGGGACAAAATTTACAAGATCACATTTTTGTTCCTATTTTCATATTTTGTGATGAAACTGGAGAGCAAAGTCTAGCTGATCAACAATTTGATGCAATTCGCTATCTTCATGATCGCACGGGATATTTATCCCATAACTTTGTTATCGATGCCTTAGCATTTTACTCTGAAAACTCAGATATGACTTATCCCCAGTTTCAAAGTCATGCAGCAATTATATGGAAAAATAGTAACATGATGGAAGAAATGTTAAGAACATGGTTTACATACAAAGACCAAGTAGCAAAACCATTGGTTGAACTTAACAAAAAACATGCAACCTATATGTTCCCATTCCATACCCTTCATCCTAAATCAAAAGGGGGTATTTATTTAAAATCAAGAAATCCATATGATTACCCAATAATAGATGCGAACTATTTTGGTGATTCAAGTGATTTAGAATTAGCCGCTATTGGAATTAAAATGCTCACTAAAATAGTGAATACTACGGAATTCAGAAAAATAAATGCATTTTTAGGAAGAATGGAATGGCCCGCATGCGATGTTTATGAATTAGACAGTATAGATTACTGGAAGTGTGTTTGCTTGGATATGGCTTTTACTGTTTATCATCCTGTTGGAACATGTCAGATGGGACCAGACCCTAATACATCAGTAGTAGACAGTCGATTGCGAGTCCATGGAGTTAAAAACCTTCGTGTAATAGATGCTAGTGTAATGCCAACTCAAATAAGTGGGAACACTAATGGTCCCACTGGAATAGTGGGAGAAAGAGGAGCAGAACTGATATTAGAAGATTATAATAAACTTTAAAATTGTTAAATGTATTGTACTGTGAATTTCTAGAATAATAATATGCTCCATCGTTAACCTCCTTTTTATTTCATTGTTTCGTAACATGTTGTCATTAAACCTTATCTGAAGGGCTAATTTTATTGTTACATTACTTACACACACAATAGATATCACATGAGACGAGTTCTGAACGTCATTCTAAAATATACATACATACGTATAGTCTGTTCCACGTGCAAGTTTTTTATACAAATTTTACATCGACGATCAGGTTATAATAGGTACATAGTTAAAAAATATCGTGGTTTTGTGTTTCGTCGAGTTTAATAAAAACTATTGTTTGTATTAATTACTCGTGTTATTCATCTAAAAAAGATATTCTTTTTATATTTATACCGTCAAAAATAACAAGAAAAGTCACAGTGAACTCTAAGTGTTTATAAATAGTGTTAAAATATTCAAATAAATAATTAAATATGCGAACTATTTCACGCTTGAGTAAATAGTTACACTGCCATATGTTTTACAAACTAGTTGATCATTCGACAACGAGAAATGGACTGGTAAGTGAAACAAATAAAAATAAATTAAATTAAAGATTAAAAATAAACTAATTAAGTGAATGTAAACATCTTTATTACTTAGTACATTTTGTCCAAACGGTTAGACCGATTTCTCAAATGATCATTAATTTTGTCTCGTCTATTGTACAAGTGCATTATACTAATATAATACTATCAAGAAAAGATTATTTTATGAATAATATACCAGTAAATTTTGTTAATTCTATAAATGTAATACTGACATATTATTATTAAGTATGGGAGAGCCATGCTTCGGCACGAATGGGTCGGCTCGACCGGAGTGATACCACGACCTCACAGAAAACCGGCGTGAAACAACCACAGCGTTGTGTTTCGCCATGTGAGTGAGGTTACCGGAGGCCCAATCCTACCCCACCCCCAATCCCTCCTCAATCGCTAATCCCTAAAAGGTCGGCAACGCACTCGTAACTCCTCCTCCTCCTCCGTTGCGGGTGTCCATGGGCGGTGCTGATTACTTACCATCAGGTAATCCGTCTGCTCGTTTGCCGATCTATAACACAAAAAAAAATACGATCCGTGTGATTAGGGGTGGGCTAGTGCTAAACTGGTATTCATTTTCTGATTTAACAATTTATAATTTTTTATTTCAAGTTACAACGCATCGTGCGCAACGCCTACAACAGGCACGGCTCCTCAAACATTCGCCTCAGCTCTCCAATTTTTCGCTGCTGCACAATGTTTAATTTCTGAAGGCTTGATACCCGACTCAAAAGTTAAAAGTATGTACACCATTTTTACGCATTTCATTAGTTTTTTTAATCTTGCCCTACAGTAAGAGCTATTTGCCTTACAGTAAGAGCCGCTATCGCCAACAAACTGTCTTACAGTTTGGCGATTTTTGATGTAAAGTTAATAATGTAAAACTATTTTGTGAATAAATAAATAAAAAAATATTCTGTGCCGTCAATGCGTTTAAAAATTTCAAGTCAGTCACAAGTTCACATATGTATGCATAATATTACACTCAGACCTGATACAACAATTTGTCAATCAAAAGAACTGTAGCATGCAATTGTTACATAGTAATGATGATATAATTATTTTTTATAAATATGTACTTTCACCACACCAAAGCCAATTCAGATATGTATTTTAATTGATTCTCTCAGAAATTTTCTCATGTGGTTTAAACTCAAAGATTTTACAATAACAGATGGCCTTTTATTTCAGATTACGAAAAATTCGATTTTATTATTGTGGGAGCCGGTACAGCTGGTTGTGTGTTGGCAAACAGATTGAGCGCAATACCAGATTGGAAAATATTGCTTATTGAAGCCGGTGGTGATGCACCGATAGAAGCCGTTGTAAGTATTCATTAAATAATTATAAATATTTTCGTTCATAGTCAATACCAAACTCAAAAAAAAAATTCTTCTAAACCATAAAACTTTCCCATCAATCTGTTCGTTGGTTAAGCTACATATTATTCGTTCCAAAATAAAGATTTGAAAGAAGAAGGACTAGCAGGTTATTCCATAAGAAAAAGCAAGAAACTGTATTGTAAACTTATATTAAACAAAATAAAATATTAAGATTCCAGGTATTGGCGGCGCAGCTTTGTACAGAACAAAATATGATTGGTCTTACCAGACTGCTCCAAACGGAAGAACCAATGGAGCAAATATAGATAATTCTATTGACTGGCCTCGTGGGAAGGTAATCGGTGGAAGCAGTAATATAAACGCCATGATTTACGTCCAAGGAAACGACCAAGATTATCAAAACTGGGTGGACTTAGGTAATCCTGAGTGGAGTGTCGAAGAAGTCCGTCGATGCTTCAGGAAAGCAGAAAGTTTTCAAAATGTAGAGCTATTACAGAATCCGGAGATAAGCAATCATTACGGTCACGATGGACACTTGGTTATAAACACATTTAACTCTACTTATGAATCTCTCATCGAAAAAATGTATTCGGCTTGGGACGAAATAGGGATAAAAAATGTACCCGATATCAATGTCGCAAACGCTTTAGGATCAGGGTTTTGGAGGGCCACGGCTGCAAACGGAGAAAGGCAGAGCCACAACAAAGCATATTTGAATCCCATTCTTCACAGAAGTAATCTAAAGATTCTTAAAAACAGTTTGGTGACAAAATTGTTGATAAATAATCGTACAAAAACTGCTTACGGTGTGCAGGTAGAACGAAACTCCAAGAAGTATTGCTTTCATGCTAGAAAGGAAGTTATCCTCAGTGCTGGTACTATAAATTCGCCGCAAGTTCTTATGCTGTCCGGAGTTGGGCCTAAAGAACACCTAGTTTCAAAAAAGATCTCTGTTGTAGTAGATTCTCCGATGGTTGGACAAAATTTGCAAGACCATTGTTTGATACCTATCATCATTTATGCTGATACTCCCGGTGAACAGAACGTAGCCGAACAACAATTTGACGTCATCCGGTACCTTTACAACCATACTGGACACTTGGCACATTATCCCGCTGCAAACATTGTAGCATTTTATTCTGATAAGCCGAATGCTACTTACCCTGATTTTCAAAGCCACCATTCAATTACTTATCGGAATAGTTCTACTGTTCAGTCAGTTTGGAAAAATCGCTTCAGGTACAAAGATCAAGTGATTAGACCAATAATAGAAATGAATAAGAAGTACGCATTTTACCAAATGAATTTTATCCTACTACACCCCTACTCTAAAGGTAATATTGCTTTGAGATCCAACAACCCACGAGAGCATCCAATTATCAACCCCAACTATTTCATTGATCCCAGAGATTTGGAAGCAGCCGCTACTGGAATCAAAATCCTTACTAAAGTAGTAAACACTACAGCTTTCAAAGAAATTAATGGCTTTTTAGGAAGATATGAATGGGCACCGTGTAATGATTATGAATTAGACAGTAGAGATTATTGGAAGTGCATTTGTACCGAGATGGTACTTACAATATATCATCCTGTAGGAACGTGTCAGATGGGACCAGATCCGAAAACATCAGTGGTCAACAGTCGTTTGAAAGTCCATGGAGTTCGTAACCTTCGTGTAATAGATGCTAGTGTTATGCCAACGCCGACCAGTGGTAATACAAACGGTCCAACTGGGATGATTGGAGAAAGAGGAGCAGAATTAATTCTGGAAGACTACAAGAAATTGTGATTTATTTCTAATTATTGGATTGAAATCACGTCGTATCTTTTTGAAACCTTCTTTTTTAAGTGGTACGTACACCCACGGTCCAATAGGAATGCTTACAGAATGAGGAATAGAATTGTTATTAGAAGACTACATTAGACAGATCTAGACCTCGATAATTCAGTGTAGTAAAGTAGTATTAATTTATGTTTATACATATGTACTTTATTACACGCATAGTACGCTAAAAAGCAATACATTGGATACCATGGAAGAATGTTGTAATTACAATGGGCGGTCTTATCACACAAGGCGATTTCCAGACAACCTTTATGAAATCTATAAAAGAAACTTGGACATGGGTAGTGAAGTGTACAATTTAATCAAATATTACATAAAGAAGATAAGAATTAATAACCATAAAAAGATAATTATATTGTACAAAACACAGTCAAATAGTATCTTACTGGTAAATCTGTATGAAGATTGTTTTGTATTTTTGAGATATAACCCCATACTGGAATAATTGTTATACTGTTTACAAAACATTAAAAAATATACAAAAATCTTATTTTAATAATTTTATTGAAAGGATTTTTTTAAATAACTTTTCCTTAAGCAATAAATATGCCCAACATCGAAATGAGCGATTGAAACATTAAGAACTTTTTTATATAAAAAAAGTACTTGCCCATAAAAATACAAAAAAAAATCTTCTTTAATAACAGAATGTATTATATAAATTCTACATTATTAAGCTAACCGATCTTTCAAATTTCTCAGGCTATTGTGTGGAAGACGACCTAGATAGTTCAGATTATCGGAAACACATTTATCGAGATTTGGCACAACTAAAGACCTAGTTGGCACCCCGAAAATCGTCGTTGATATATAAAAATTATATAAGAAAAGTACCGAAGTATAAAATAATAGTTTTGTGTAATAGTGAAGTAGTTTCTGTGTTCAATAAAAATATAAAATGTAATTATTAGTTCGGGATAGCAATCAGCACATTTATTGACAGTCTTACTTGTGCCAAGAAATTATTGACACAGTTAATCACAACTGGCTTAACGATTTAGATATTAATTACTTGTTTTTATAAGCACATTTGTAAACTATTTGGCATGAAAAACCTCAATCGTACGAAACCTCAATCTTAGGTTAGAAATCTCTGTTGATGGAATAAATAAAGAACAAAAAACACACGAAAAAAAGAAAATAAAATGCATCAATATCGCAGCAAAAGGTACCAGTATAAATGGTCATTCAACAGATAAAACCATTAACTATTCTTAACCGACTGTGAAAAGAGGCAAGCAACCTTATTGTTGGCCGCGGAGATGAATAGAAACGTTGTACAAAAGGTGTTTTCTGCGAACATCGATTCCTTTGCTTGTTTACGCTCGTTAAAAGTCTGAAGTAAACGTGCTACTTTTATATTATTATTTTTATTGCTAATTAAATTTATTTTGTTTCGGAATAATGGAAAATAATTGATTACACCTTACAATAATGAAACAATGAAGTTTACCTTCATTTAAATATAGTTTTGACTGGACAAATATGGGTATACGTAAAGTAAAACTAATTATGAAGCACTATATTATGTTGTTCTACAACGTATCTCCAAGTTGTTCTGGTAAAACATGTATATAAAATGACACCGCAGTTATTGGATCCACTAACAAACATACACATTTGAATGTAGAAAGAGAAAACAAAATACTATCTAAGATCAACTCAATTGTTGTAAAAGTCGCAAGTTTAGAGAACCTCAAATGGATGGAAAGCGCAAAAGATTGCGTGCATTAACTTAACGCGGAAAGAAACTAAAACGCAGAACATTCTCGATACAAACATCGGTAAAAGTCGAGAGTCTGTTGGTACCTAAATGAGTGGGAAGTGCACTACCTGCCTTTTGTTTTGAATAGACAATGGCATTTTCTGCGGCGCAACGTTTGAAGAATAAATTCTACTCAAAATACAAACATAAATACACACATATTCAAAATATCTTGTTTTTATTTTCGTCGGTAGGGAGTGTCGGTCTCTTACTGACTAAAAACCAACCAGTCTCTTGTCTCTCTTCGCGGGTTCTAAACCTGGAAAAGCATTTTCATTATCACGTTTGACAGCACTTGAACAAGTGTAGTAGCTAATTCCTATACTTTTTCAATGTGATTAGCAGGGCACCTGTGATAAATGATAATGAGCCGAACACCCCTGTCCCGCGTGTACTAATTTAATTAAATAATGTCCTTCTAAAAATCTCGGTAACGCGACTCGTCGGGTGCTGCAGGTGTCCAGGGGAGCGCCGATCCCGTACCATCAGATAAAGAAGAAAGAAAGAAAGAAAAAACATTTATTTGAGACTCGCACAGAAAATAAATACAATTACATTTTATAAATACAAAAAGAAAAAACAAACAAAAATAAACAAAACAACAACAAAAAAAATATTAAAATAAAATAAAAGACCTGTGCGAGGTCAAAAAGGCCACTATCTCAGCATATGCTGCGATAATTCACCAGTAGGTAAAAATACCGCAGCGCTGGTATTCTGATAGGGCCTGGTGATGCCACGGACACACTCACGGAACACAGAAACAGATTAACATATATAAATATATAGAGATATATAAATATTAGATATATATAAAAATTATAAACAAAAAATAATAGTAATAAAATACCGACTAAAAATATTCTATAAATAGTATACAAATATAAATGACAAGAAAGATGTAGTTGTGCCACAGAACAATACATCGACAGATGATCCTTTAGCTCGTTAACCTCCTATTTAATAAAAAAAACCTACACACACATCAATGATTACGCATTGACTTCTTGTTCTGGCAAAAGCTAGGAAAACTAAATTCCATTTCACAAATAAACGAGGCCACTAGAATAGTTAAACTATTACACCTCCTACGATTGTTTCCAAATCGTTGTTTTTATTCGTTACTGATGTTTCACTTTCAAGTTTAATAGTAGCCATTATGGAACCCTCTTGGGCCATTCCCTAGCATAACCCTACTATTATTATAACAACCCAAAAGTATTCCTCAATGCTAATTTTATCTATTCCTACACAAACTTCGAGCAGGCATAATAAATATAATAAGTTTTTCTTTCGGGACCACTAGTCGCATGACTGAAAATTTAATTCTCGAGCAGAGAATCTCTGACCTTCCAATCCAATTGACTAATACTGGATTTTCCTAAATCTACACTATACATAATATTGCACACAGTATAGTGTACACATAAAGTATACATATATAAATAATTGACTTTGAAATAGGGACCAACTGTAAGCACGTTTACATTAATAAGTGTTGTTGTTTTAAAAAAAACAATAACCTCAAAGTATTGATCAAAAATTTAGCTCATTACGTCATGATTTTCAACCAACAGAAAATGGCAATGCGTTGGCTGTGTCTGTTAGTGTCATCATCATCAGCCTATAAGTGCCTGATGAACAAAGGCCTCTTCTCACACGGAGAAGGTCTGAGCATTAATCACCACGCTTGCTCAATGCGGGATTGCGATTTCAGACTTATAGTAATTAGAAATTATAAGTCCAGGTTTCCTCACGATGTTTACCTAGACCGTATGTCAGTGGTATCTAAAAAATCATAGAAAGTACTCGTAGATATAAGTCGGGAAAAGTCACATTGGTACTTGCCAGGTTTCGAACCCGAACTTTCAGGCATGAGAAGGGTGCTCCTTAACCTCCGAGCCACCACGACCGTCTGTTAGTGTGATTATTTTAATTTCCAACCACTATTTATACCTATATTTAACAAAACACACCTCAAAATATTTATTCTCATTTAAAACTATCTCATATCGACGGTTAACCTCTGACCCTTTATTGACATTGAAAATGTGAGGGCTTTTCCATAATTGCGGCTTTGGGCGAAATATTTATGGAAGGCCAGAATAGGTTCCATTGTCTTCTTCCTTAAGGGATTTGGGTGGGAATATCAATATATCACATGCATAAACATGTACGGATATAGCCGCTGAATCAGTAAAACCAAATAAATGTATCGACCTCTTATTTCGGGCTGAATTCCAACGTTGATGGGGTGATTTGGTTGCGTTATTGTTCGCGTATTCATGACATTAATGGGTCTTCAACCGAGCAAGGACTTAAAAAAGGTTAGGGTCAAATCTTTAGGCTTTTGTTTCCCTTTTAAATGTCGCAACTGGTTTTAAGACTTAAAAATAATATGTTGATAAATATATGAATGTGGTAAGTAATTTAAGGGTAAACTTATATCTTAAATTTAATATTTATATGTAGTTTATTGCATTTTCATTTTACTCAACCGATATCCTTTCCTCACTTCGATTTTCTCGATCTTCTTACTCGCATGGTCCCCGAGAGAAATCCTTGGAAAGCCCCTATGTTTGCCGTCACTACGTATTGCGAAAATACCGAGAAAATCTCTGGGTTTCTTCTCGAAATTTCTACCGTACATTTTGAGGAAAAAACAAATCGTAACGCACTATTCGCTTTGGTTTAAATGACATCCCTAATACTTGTTTATTTTTATAGGAATATATTTATAAAGGAAGCGTCGGCTATTTGCGTTCAAACGTTATCAGGTCAACCGTGACTTTCTCCGCTTTCACCAAAACAGGTCAGTTTGTACGGTGATTCTGTGAAAAGTCGACCTAAGTGATATTTCGGCGACTGTCCCAGATATTCAAATGTTTGTTCCCGTTTATTCTAAGCTTAGTTAAATTTCATTGTTCAGAGAGATTTATCTTTATGATTCTATCTTTCATTTGTTAAGTAATTTTTGAACAAAGACACGACGATAATAATAATAATAATGAATGACAATGAGTCAAACTTAGTTGGAACCTATGTTTAAATTTTAAATTTTCGAGTTCTAAAATTTTGTCGTCTATAAAGATTATGTTTCATACACTAGCAATAAATAAGTAAGATTATCTGTGATTCATTCAAACTAAAACAAATATAATTCAACAACCACCATTAT